TTCCTGATGATGACATAATTAATGTCGAAATATTGAATCCCAACACGATGGCGTGTATTTCAATACTTGGAGTATGTATTATACTTTCTTATCTGAGATTAATCAGTGGACCTTTCGGTTTTAGATCCATTATGCTTATGAAAATCAGTGATTGACATTTTATCGAAAATTTCAATTATAAAATATTTCCCTTGCCAGTTATCATACGCATTTAAATAAATAACTATCCTATAATTGTATATATTCTTTCATATTGGAAAACCTACTTTTCATGCATGTTGAATATCATCCAGTTTTAAAATCATTCAGAATAAAGATTATTAAGATCATTAAGGTATAATAGGAATTTTTAATACATGAGCCAGATGACTATGCACTAATTTTTGTGACCATCTTTATGACCATGTGGGATTTGCACGCTACAAACAAAACGAACTCTGAAATTGGTATCGATCACTCCAAGTTTTGAGAAGAAACATCAAATATGGATTAACCTGATTAAACAAAGACACTTAAAATATAACTCACACAGGCAGGTAAAATACAGATGTTTAAGGTAACAAAGACACTTAGCTGTAATACAATCCTCCATGGCGAAGAGAAAAATTCATAACCAAACGCATTAAGATTTATAAAGAGAACATATATTTGATATCCAAATCCATTCAAAAAAGCTCACCCTAATTTACTAATGAACTTGGCTTAGTGTTACGATTTATCTCATAAAGACTTTTTAAATTTTTCATCCAAGACATTATATCAATAACAGGATGGACTTTAATATCCATTGATAGGCCATGACCTACTTTTTAGTCTAATGTGTACAGATGGCATTTGTTTAGAAAGGAACATATCCTCGCATTTCCATTGATTGTATGATGCTACCCTGGGGTTGGAAGTCGAGCAAATGAGCACAATAACTACTAAGTCACCATTCTCCTGTTATTGTCATATTATATTTATTGTTGTTTGCTTTCATTGTTTGTTAATATAAAGTCCTTTTCAAACTATTAAATTTTATTTGTCAAAAACATGTGACATGCCTAAATATGGTCATAATGACATCACATTATAACCATATATAGACACATCATGCCAATATATGGGCATACAACAGTTGCTTGTGTGGACAGAGCTTAATGAACCTGTCTGTAATGTCAATCAAACCTATGTTGCATTTGACATGATTTGAACCCAGGACCCTAATATTTTAAGGCAATCATCTAACCCTCACTACTAAATCACCGTCATACATTGTTTCTTTTTCGACATTGCCCATTTGATTTATGTATGCTATATGAAATGGTATAATGTTGTACAAGTCGTTTTGATTCATAACATTATCATTTCATTTTTTAATGTCAAAATTATTTATTTTTAATTTGTAGGAAATGAGCTTAAGGCATTCATTAGAAAGCCATAAGTTAGACTTAATCGCTGAGATCACAAGCTTGAAGTTACAACTAACTGGTGCCAAGCAAGAGCTAACAGAATGGAAGGAAAAGGCTGCAGACAACCAGGTACATTTAATTACCCTAGATGAATGGTATAGTCCATTTATTTCTAAGGAAAGCATTTTTGTTATCAATTTAACATGAAGTAAGATAATGTTTGAAAATTATGTCAATGTCCGTTGTATTATAATACGAATACTGTGAATGATGTATTATATTGGAAAAAAGTATTCAACAGTTATGAGGGAAATAATATATTAATCATATTTAATATGTTGACTTTTTACAATTTATTTCATTCCCAACACTCTGAATGGTATGGCCCATTTATAGCTTCCCTGGAGAAAATACCTGAGAATGATAAGTCATTAAAGTCAACAATTGAATTTAATGAGGATTATGTTTGGAAATGATGGCCATCTTTTTTTGATTCAGGACATTAACACCTTTACTACTTCACTTATTTACTTAATGCAAATATTATTTTTCAATAAAAAACAAAGATAAGAGAAATATTGATTTTATATAAAATTTTATTGTACACTATTACTTTATTCATGATACAGCTCATCATATTTTTTCTTTGACTCTAGTATTAAAATATTTTATCTTAATGTAATGATCCTTAAAATATATTTGTGATTGGCTGGGATGAGTTGATGTTAATCTAGACAGTTAAATGCCAACAGCTCATTAGATAGTTTTGATTCGAAAATTGTGTAAATTAATGTAAATCTTAATTGAATTCATTATAATAAGTCCTTATTTTCAGGCTTGCTTGATGGAAAAAGAAAAGGAGACGATGCAAGAAAAATACAAAGCAGCACAGGTAGATACACAGATTGAAAAGCAATATCACATTAATTCATTTAAATATGGGAAGATACAGTTTTCTCTTGGTAGCATTCTATAGAGTATCATAAAAAAAAATCTTATGCAGCTTTAAATATTAGGAGTTAACCTCTCTATTATTTACTTAAATTTCTTGTCTTCTGTCATGCAATTGTTAGCAGTATCATATTTTGCAGGGATTCTAGACAAATCTTACTAATTCCCCATCCTTATTACTAACATCATCTGAACTGAAGGCAGGTCTTTTAATTTCTGACCTAATTATTGAGTCAGAATGTGTTCTAGTAACATTAATTAATTAATTAATATTCTATATTGATTAATTAATATTCTATATTCTAACCTCTTGTTCCTTTCCTCCATAAAATTTAGCTGAACATAAATGAATTACATAAGGAGGCCAATGATTGGCAGGAAAAATACATGCATAGTCAGGTGAGCCGACCTAGACTTTGAAATACCAAGAACAGTACCACCACCATGATTACCGCCACCACAACCACCATAACCACCATAAATAGAACCTCTCTTGTTGCCATCATTACACCATCAACAATCTTTCACATTTCCCCTATCACTACCAATAGTACTACCACAATTGCTAACATTATACACACTACTTGGTACTGCCACCATCAACCACCATTCCCGCTGCTACCACCGCTACCATCATTACAAGCTCCATCACAACCACCTTCGTCATTATATCCCATTTAATCATTTCCATAGTAGTGCAAAATTTGACAACAAATTCTCATTTTAATCATACAACATATAATAATAATCAACATCATTCTAATTATCATCATCACTGTCATCATCACCATTACAGTACACCAGCACCTTCAAAACAATATAGGCAACATCTTTTTTCATCATTAGTAGGTATTACCTATGTTTTAAGTAGTTATTTACCTGTTTATTTGCTTTCCAGTTTGCTAAAATCCTACTATACTTACCTGTATTGATAAATTGAGGATTTGGAAATATATGTTTAATTTTTGTTCCACTTTTAGTTTTAGACTTACCTGACCCTTTAGAAATTGTTATCATCATTTATCTGCTAATATGCTTTTGTATAATTATTTTTTGTTATGTCTCACATACTTAACTTGCTTTGATTTTGCTGTCTTCTTTTATTAATATTTTGCTAAGTCTTTCCTCCCTTCATTCCTGCTGAAATGTCTTACAACCTCTATTCACACTCTCAAGTTTTATGAGATTTGCCCATATATAGACATGATGATGTCATATCATACCCATATAAGGGCATGAATATACACCAATAAGTATAATAACTGATATGTACTACTAGGTTTTCTTTCATGTTTATTTGAACAATAATTTTTTTGGAATATATATTTTCAAATGTGATTTTTTATAATGCTGAGCTTATTACAGCTTGCTTTCTAGATGTTTGATTATGTCCTGAGATTTGTCTGCAATGCTTTAGATTTCAAACCAGTAAATGTATATTTATGTGTTTGTAAGAATTTAACTGCATCGTTATGTAGAATCATTATTTGTGGTCCACTTAAAAGTCATCTATATTGTTTAGAATAGTTGTGTCTGTAAGTACCATTGTTGTACCCATTCTTTATATTGTATATCTTTCATTTATATCATATATATATTTCATTTATTTCACAGTGAAATTAAAGGGGCGTTTATTTGAGTGCACGTGTCCATTTTACACCAAATAAATAAATAAACGCCTCCCTCAAGTGAATTCCGCTTCAGAAACCCTTTTAAACAATAAATACTCGGGGCGTATATTCGGATAAAATACGAAATTTCAATCAGTGTCATTTGTTGATAAGTTTGTGTGATTATTTTAAGTAACCTATTCTGTTGATGAGAATTAAATATTATCAACACAGTTTAGCCTAAAGTTCATCTAAAATGCTGTCTCTTATACACATCTAGATGTGTATAAGAGACAGGTATTACGGTACAATCATCATTGTCACCTCAATAATCCCAAATTCAACATGCCTTTCATGATCATTTTGATTAACATCATCATCATCCCACCATAGTCTCATCATCATCATTAACATATTGTCATCATTCTCATGATCATCACCACCACCACCACCATCATGATGATGATCATGATCTTCATTTTCATCCCATCACCACCATCATCATCAAGAGTATTCTTTGGTATCTATATAACATAATATCTTTCAGAGAATATTCGTTGAGGGGGTGCTTCAATTATTTCTCATTTGCTGTCTATATTGCAGCACAAAACCTGTTTTCTCGCTTTTTTTTAAATGTGTTACTTCAAATTTTGTCTCCAAATATAGATGCAGAGGCAGTTAAATTGAAGAAAGCTGTTGAGTCCTTGATGTCTGCCAATGAAGAGAAGGTAAAGTTACTGTATGTTATCTAGCCGAACTCATTCTAGGCAAAGGGGTAGTTACAAATATTTAAGTGCTTGTATCTTTCACACAAATGATGTGTGGTGCTTTGCACTCAAGAGAATAGTCAAACCATTGCTCCTTCCTGAAAAATATTCTAACCATCTCCACTATTTGAGGAATAATTAACATTATCTTCACTCTATGGAAAGTATTTGACCTGTGTCTAAGGTCTAATCTGGAGAATGCTTGAGGACATTCCACCTGTCTCTACACCAACCATCTGTGCTCACTGGAGAATACTTTTCTCTTCCCTGCTTCTTAAGGAATATTCCTGATGTATATTCCCTGTGGAATATTTTACATCTCCACTCCCTGGGAAATACTCCATCCATCTTTACTACACAAGGAAATGTTTTGGCTTGGTTGTGCTGCACATTCACACCATACCGTAACCACATATCCTACACATTAGGTTTAGTGAGCACATAATTTTATAAAATTTTGCAATGTGGCACATTATAGCCAATTGCATGAGAGGTAACAAAGAATGTTTACATTTTGTCTAAGCATAGAAGGGATGTACACGTAGTACCTACAGTAGGTAGGCTACATTACCAATGGTGTGACTTATGCAAAACGACACTTAGCATAAAATGATACTATTATTATGTTCCCGGCTCATCTAAAGTGAGCACATTGGAATGTCATCTTGTTGAGTATCCTAAGTAGGAATTTATGGGATGTACTGTTAGTCACGGCTAAGTGATCACCAAGATAGATGTTGCTATTGGTTGGAAAAAATGCTCAATGCTAAATTATATGCAGATTAACTGGGAATACCATCCAGAGAACTGGCAGGGTTTTATATTTTTGTATGATTGTTTAGGATATTCAGAGTACTAAGTACTTTGAAAAAAATGTACTGGATCAATAAAAATATAGATATTCATGTTAGTGCTGGTGATTTTGATCACAATAAAGATTATGATGACAAATAACAACAAAGTCAGGCATACACTGTCAGACTCATCAAACATTGTTTAATCAAACCTTTTGATAGTGCCAAGTTTTAGACAGTAGCATTGATAGAGGAGGTGGGTGGGGCAGGTGGGGCAAGCCACTAGGGCGGAAAAAAATAGGTAAAAAGTGATTTTTTAAAAATTCCACTGATGAAGGTGACCTGTGTGGTCGAAAGCTTGTGTGTCAATAAAATTTGTTAGTCGGTCTTCAATTTACTGATTGAAAAATGTCATGTATTTTGGACGACTACATTTAATTTAGACATAAAGACAACTGATCAGACAAAGTTAATTGTCAAACTCATGCTCAGATTTTTCAGGAATTTGTAGTTGTATCTAACAGACAAAAATCTGCACAAGTAATTTTACACTGTCTTCTTCCAGGAATTGAAGATTGAAGAACTTCGCCAGAGCATTAACAAGTACAAGCGTATACAGGATATGGTGATCATATCTCAAGGCAACCAGAAAGGACTGGATCTTCAAGAGGAAGAAGAGTTGCAGCTGGACAGTAGCCCGTCAGTCAGCTCCGCTGGTAATCTCGACCAAGATGACCATGTCAGAGATGAGGTATGACTGCATGCACGAATGAGAAAGTATAGTACATACTCCAAAAACTGAAAGGTCTACTGATTAATCTGATAAGATCGTAAAATACATACTCCAATTATCGAAATGCATGCCATCGTGTCGGGATTCAATATTTCGACATTAATTATGTCATTATCAGGAATGATGATGACATAATTATTGTTGAAATATTGGATCCCGACACGATGGCGTACATTTTGATACTTGCAGTATGTATTGTACTATCATATATACTCCAAGTATTGAAATGCATGCCATCGTGTTTGGATTTAATATTTCAACATTAATTATGTCATCATCAGGAATACATGCATGCACCTATCAAGGATATATCATATGATATATAAAGATATTATCTTGATTAAAAACAACTTTGCATTTAAAAAAATTTTTGCTTGAAATAGGAACGTCACCAAGCAACTCTCCATATAAACCTTGCCGGACCAACTGCCACATCAACGCCTATCAATGCACCAATCCCACCCCCTGTGTCAGACGATGGCCTGATTCGCCCCCGAACACTAGAAATACTTAGTCATGAAGACGACTATGGACAGCAGGTGCGCTCGTCCAGTATGGACAATATGAAGAGACCTCATCTATCGACAACAGAAAAGGTAGGTAGAAGGATGGATTGTACATACTTATTATATGTTGAAGCATCATATTGGCTAAATGCTGTTGTGAAAAGGAAGTTGAGTATCTAAGTAGATGGAATAAATGCCATTAGGTCAGTGTTTCAAGTGATGGTGTTGATTTAAGGAACCAAAGAAGAGTTGATGTGTGCTGTATCAACTGATTGTTTTTATGTATGTATAGAATTACTATTTGCTAAGCTAAATAAAAACATGAACACAGTCCTTCAAATCAGTAAAAACATAATCATTTTGATCTTTAGAATTTGATAACTGATTTCATCCCATTAAATAAAAAATCTAATGTTCCAATTTAATTTTTTAGGATTTCCCAAGATTTGCCACAAACCACATGTTCTTAAATTAGATAAATTTATAAATCAATAAAAATTGGTTGCTTCTCTTTTTTTGTAGTATGCGGCTGCTGGTGTCTACAGCACCCTACCATCACCAAAAACTCGCAACTTCTTGGACGTCCATCACTCGGAACCAACAACGCCCGAGAGAATGAAGAGGAACAAGACCAGAATATCTTTTGGAAGAGGGATCTTCAAACGAAGCACCAACAAGATGCAGAGCGCCCCCAATCTGAGTAAGTTTACATTTTATTTCATTTATTCTTTACAGGCATCGAGGGATTAACATGACCTTGAAGTGGGCGGCTTTGGGGTGGTCCTAAGCAGCTATTCTTACGACAAGTGGAGGAAAAGGACATCTCATTTTTCCATTTCTAAAGTGCAACATTACTGCTTGAAATGAATGGATTCTGGCAATATGCAAATTTATATGATTTATTGATTGATTGATTATTTGATTGATTAATAAGAAGTTGGCCAGGACCATCTAAAATGCATGTAAATTTTCAACTCTGAAAATCAACTTTATTTTAAACATTAGTTTTCATACCAATAGGAAATCATCTACTCACATAAGATGATTTGTGTTTGCTGCCCTCTATTTTCAGTTTGTGGATTATTAGCTGATGCAGCTATTTTTAGGATACAGTTACAAATTGTATAGTTGTACAATTTTTACATTGTTTTATTTGAAAATTTTTCTGGTTATCTGTTCACCATAGAGTATTTTTATATTATTAATTCTTTTTTACATTATAAGTCTGCTTTAAATACCCCAATGAAATGCACAAAGCAAGAATTTTCAAATATTAAAAACCTGAAAATGTTATTCCTATAATGATAAATAAAATTGTTTGTGTTATATAATCCGGCATATTGTGTTCAGTGATGCATATCGATTTTTCTTTGTATACTTTCGTTAGTGAGTTATCAGATCTTTTCACATAGTGCACATAAACAGTAATTTATTTGAATTTTCATTACCGATAAATGAGCCGTATGGTTAATAACCATATTGTTACAATTTTTTAAAAGCACTTTGAGTATTATTAATATAATATGCTATACAGACCTAAGCTATGCCTATTCAAATTGAATAAAGTAATTTCCTTTGTCATTGTATATTTGAAATTTATAATTTTTTATGGTGGTGGTTACTTGTACTTTTAAAGTAGATTGGAATTGATGTACATACATACTATTACGTTTACAATTTAGGCTCTATACCTTGATATCGGGGGCTCAAATCTACATTCTTTGACTTTTGGTCTTTAAAGCAAAACACTACATCTAAACGCTTTCCATTTCATACGTCCTTGGGCACTTCTAATTTAAATATCTAAAACTACGTTTACAGTAATTAGTCTAATTGAGGTTGAGTGGGATGGCCATATGGATAGTTAACACATTAACACAAACACCAATTTTTACGTTACCATTACTATGGTAATACTTTTAAATAGAAGGTAAATAATTATCTATTTTTGCCTTATAAAGCCATATACAGGAAGACAAATCATTTGGTACACCAGTACTTAGCATGTATTCTATTAAGTATAATGATGAGTATATTTTATGCTCCTTTAGTACATTGATATAATTGTGCATTAAGCTTCAATGTTTATGTAGTTCTGCAAACACGGAAAGTAATAGCCTCTGCAATCATGGAAAGTAATAGCCTAAATATTTTTATGTAGGAACGGTTTGGCACAGCGGTTGGGGTTCTTCTTAACCTTGAAGTCGGAGGTTCAATCCTTCGCTGTGCATTTTGCTTGTGTCCTTAGGCAAGGCACTTTACCTATGGTTGTCTCTCTCCACCCGGGAGTACAAGTGCTTGCCTAGTAGACTCAAAAACAAAATGCACTGATTACAGCTGCAACATTATGGAATCTTTCCAGGGAGCTCAGTATGTGTTCCATACTGTAAAACCTTGAATTGAAACCCTGGGTTTCTTCATTTATGTTTGCAAACTTTGGATGTGCTTCTTTTCGAGACCACTTTTGCTTTTTCTCAAAATGAATGCTGTAAATTTGGGGATTTAGTATTATAAAACAATAAATAAGGCCACTATAACATCAATCTGCATTATGGAGTGTACTATCCGTCATTAAATCACCTAAACTACTGTATAAACCAATTTATTTTGTTTCTTTGAAATTCATGTACAGTGTATGTACTGTATTATCATGAAAAGAAGTCTACGCTATCTTGAAAAGAAGCCCATTTTGCAAACTGAAGAGGTGGGCTTAAATTCGAGATGGGCTTCTTCTTGAGATTAAGCCCAGTGTTTTTACCGTATGTGCTTGATCCAATGCGGGGGTTGCAGGGGTAATAATGTGAAGCGCTTAGAGACCTTGTTGGCGTTAAGCGCTATATAAGTCTAACATATTATTATTATTATTATTAATTATGTGGTCCAAGTGTCTGTGTGCGTGATGGTTAAGATGTGCAATATCAAACCCAAGTCTAAAGCCCTGCCCATGTGACATGCCTAAATATGGTCATGATGACATCACATCATGACCATATATAGGCACAACAGTTCCACATTTCCATATCGCCAAATGTGTGAGAATTATAAAAATAATTTGATCATTTTTTGTCTAATGTCACGTTTGTCTTAGTCATCATATATCAAACAAATTGTGTTCTATTTGTATAGAAGTAGTAATTATATTTTATGATTTAAGTGATTGACTTAATTTGTTTATTCATACATAGTATGTATAGTGTGTAGTTTTTATGTAGCATAGATCTCACTTATACCATTTGTTTACTTATTTAAATTCACCACTCAAAAATAATTTCAAATCTAAAAAACACAAATAAATGTCATAGTACTTTGTGTTAAACCTTTACAAATTGTTGCTGACGATATGTTTTGTGAAATTTATTATTTATTTCGTATTTTTGACACTCCTGTTTAATTGTCCAATATATCACTGGGAAATTAGAATATAACATTTAAGAAGAAATTTTATTCATTTTGAAATATATATTTTGTTAATTGTTATATATTTTTCTTCTTGTTAAATTGTCTGATAGGTATATAAAAAAAAACTTAGATAACTTTGAACTTTTCATATTTTAAGGAACTTATCATCTTTGTTAGTCTCATTTTACAGAGTGGAATTTATGCATTAAAATGATGCTATGGAATGCCAACAGCTGTGATGTTTGCTTCTGTTCCTAGGTCCTGTGATCTGGTAATCCTGTGTTATTACTCATATCTAATCAAAAACATAATTCTTAACAATCATAATTATTCAAATTTTAACTATGACTTGGTGGCAAGGATAGCTGCCTTTATTTCTAGGCTACTGGGTTCAAATCATTCAATTGACACAATATTTTTGCTCATGACAAAAAAACTTTTTTTTTTTTGGTGATGGAACTATTTTCTCAATATCAAATGGATAATCCTTGTATTTTCTCAATGATTTTATATAACTGTACCAGTTTAAAAAGCAAAATGTGAGTATTGAATATGCTTATAATTTAAGACAGAATAATAACAAAAACTAAACTAAAATTATATGGATAATACCAATAAACCATTGATTAAATGTTTTCTATCATATTTGATAATAATTTAGTAATAATCTATCATCATTATAAATATGATCTTGCACTCACTTGGCTCGTTCTACTTCAAATTCCCAATTGTGCTAAGATGCTCGCTGACATTGCTTTCGTATCACTTCTGAATACCCAAGAGAAGTCAATTAAACCCAATTGTCTTACAGCAAATTTAACTTCAACTATGGATCATTAGGAGCCTAATTAATGAGTAGAAATTTTCTTGATTCATGAGAAAATGATAATTATATGCAAACAATTGAGGGAGGATTTTAGCTTTAGCTACTTCATCAGCCCATGTACATATTCAGCTTTGTTTCGTACCATATCAAAATTCATTTTAAACCTCATGATGTTTTGGCTTCAACAGTATCTCTGGAGCCTCTGGCCATTGTGAACTAAGGCATTTTATGTCTGGATAAATAAAGTAAATTAAATCTAATCATATTGGAGTATAGGGATGTAGTAGTTAATACATTTTTTTGGTAAATTTAGATTATAACTAGTAAAGTATTCTGTAAGTAAATTATTATAGGAAATAATTAAATAATTTATAGTATTACTTTAGTAGCTTGGTGGCTAAGGTGCTGGCCTTTCAATTCCATGCTCCTGGGTCCAAATCTTGATCACATGATTTTTTTGTTCTGGTAACTAAACATCTTCCCACTATCTAAGCTTTATATTGGTCTGGTATAGAAAAATTGGATATGGTATGAGATATTCGACAAAATTTATTAAAAGAAAACATTAAGAGACAGAATAAAATTATAGGAATTTAAGGAAATACTATAAATTAACCCATTAGATTAAAAGTAAACATGAGCCAATGAGAGATAGTTAATTTTATGAACGAAATGGAACAATGCGAAGTGCTCAAATTGAGGTTCAAGATCTTTGAGTTGCCCTTAGGGCAAGAAATGAAAAGCTGAGTGAAAAACAAATAAAAAAGAAGACCTCATCTATATAGTCAACAAAAGGACAAAGAAATAGGTCAAATTCTAAACATAAAAGAACATTATCAAGCTGTTAGAGGTAGAACAATAGGGATTAACCAGTTGAAAAACTCTGATAGACTAGCATACTGTGTATGGCTATCATTTTTCACTAGTATGCCATCTATCAGAATAATAAAAAGGATAGATATAAATTATAATATAATAATTATATGTATTCAAGTATATTATAATAAATGTATATGTAGCATTGATTTATTATTTTAAAAAATTGCTCAATTTTTAATGACAGATATTGACAAATGAACGAGAATTCAGTCCATTCTCCAATTTGTCCGTCGTCTTTCTTTATAATAGATCGTTTTATTTCTTACATATGCTAATGATGTATTGCTACTATTATAATTTCTTTTCTTCATTATAAAGATTTTAACAATGTCAACAGTATTTACTCAGCATAAGCATACCCTAGAGAAAGAATGATTTTATTGAGAATTTGTATGTTAATATTTCAGACATTTTAATTTAGCTAATTTCTCTGTGAATTATACTTCCTAATCTTTCCAACTTCAGTTTCATAAAATCTGTTAATTTAGTAATCTGATTGCAATTACCTTTGGAGTCAATTACCAATTACATCAGCCAACCAGCTCAGAGGTTCTAGACTTTCTGTCTAAAAATAGCTAAGACATCATCAATATTTT